CTCAAGGGAGAGCACTAGGTTTGTTTATGAGAAATGATGGCTTATGTGCTGGATAATAGAAACTGCTCACTCCTGGCTATGGGTGGCATTATTCTGAGGGAGCTCACAATACAGACAGGCAGACTCAGTGTTTTGGGTACCAATAAAGGAGTCATTACTAGAATTGGTTTGATAACTGCTGAGCTGGGTGTGCACAGACGTGGACTGATTAGCATTTGGAGCAGGGATCCCCCATCATGCAGTGCTCCCCTGCTTCTCTGGTCCCAGAGTTCAGTGCAGCCCTTGCCTTGGAATCTCTGTTCTCCATCCTGAATGCTACTGAAGATTCATTCTTGTCCCATCTCTCATGTAAATGAGACCAGGAGAGTTGCTTCACTCCTATCACCTTGTCTAGAGGGGTTTAGGTGCATCTCCTAAAAAAGTCCTTCTTCTGATCAGTTCTGGTTCAGGCAGAGGTGGACAGGGCCACGGGTGGTGAGTCCTTCATGAGTCAGACAGAGCTGACAGGTAATAGGGGCCAGGGCATGGAGCAGGACAGAGTCATGGGCATCTCATCCATGTGGTGGGGGCAAGTGCCCCCCCCCCCCCATCTGTGCACAGGGCAGGTGGATGCAGGCTGCCTGCTGCAGGCTTGGGGCTTCCCAACCTGCTGCCTTCCATCTGGAGGTCCTGCGGTGGCCACACCGCTGTGGCAAGGTGCCCCCTGCCTGCCTGGCAGCAGTGGAGATGGCAAGCAGGGTGTTGTACCCCTTGCTGCTGGGCTGGCAGGGAACGAGTGGCTGCTGTGGGACTCCCGAGTAAAAAGCAGCAGGGCAGGAAGCCTCAACCAGGCAGCCCAAATCTGACTCTACTCCACTCCACTTAGCTCTTGTCCAGCAGTGGCAGCGAGCACAAACAAATTTGTAACTCAAAAGGGGGGTTCAGCTGAAAAAGTTTGAAAACTGCTGATTTAACACCTAGGAAGCTCTGGTTCAGAGGCTGTACCCCTCACTCCCATACTCAATAGCTATGGATACCCCTTTCCTCCAAGAATGTGTCCAATCCCTTTGTGAATCTGGCTAAACTCACAGATTTACAGAAGTTTTAGGGCTGGAAGGGACCTTGCGAGAGCATTGGGTCCAGCCACCCTGCTCTGGGCAAGAAAGACTGCTGGGGTCAAATAACCCCAGCAAGGTGTACGTCCAGTCTCCAGTTGTTTCCTGGGTATATCTACAATTAAACCAGTTTGCAGTTAAGCTTCATTCCACCTCACCCACCCAATAATTCCAATGCTTTGCAGCATGTTAAGTGGCAATGAGGTGACCAATCTGGGGACAGAGCCGAGCACTCAATCTCCACTTTCATTTGGGCTGGACACCGTCTACTTTGGCAGGCTGGATCCTCTTATTCTCGCCCTGCTGGAAGCACAGGTAAAGTCTCCCAGCACTCTCTGGGAAACAACCTGCACAGAGAGCCACGGCCTCTCCGCAGAGAAAGCCATGGCTGCACAGGGACTAGGGCCTGCTCCGAGCCCACCTGGGAAGCACTAGATGCTCACAATTGTACCTGGGAACTCCTGGTGGGAACACAGATACTGACAACGGGGCCTCGGAGAAGGTCAGTGTTTTGAACTTAACTTCCTTGCATTTGCCTCCTCAGATGAAATTAAATATTACCTTAAATGTACTGAGACATATGTCAGAGACCTTATGAACTCCCATCAAGAAGCAACACATCAAGAGTGTTCCACTGCAAAGCTTCTAATAGTGTTGAGGAGTCAAAAAACACCATCTGGAAGAGCTTAAATCTTTTCCCAACCACATCATAAGACTTCAGTATGGGAGGCAGGTGTGCTTGATGCATGGCATGAACAATAGCTTGATGTATTCATTTCAATAAAGCACATAGGCCCATGGTGTTGTGGTTCTCAACTTTTCTAGATTCAAGTTACAGACACAAGGGTAATCCTTGGAAAACACCAGGTTTGTTTTCACTCATTTTTTGACAGCATAGGGGTGGGGGTGGAGCAGTTTTTCCCGTTGCAAAGAACTCAAAAAAGCCACAACAGGGCAAATGGTTTTAACACTATGGATGCCTTGTTGAAATCTCTGAGCTCATCTTGTGAATCATGTTTGCACACTAGGGAATCACAGGGCACAACTACACAAGACATTTACTGTGCAATGGAATAATTAGCTACACAGTGAATGTCACGCATCTACATGTGCATTACTATCAGGCTGGAGTGAAAAAAACTCTGCAGCAGCACATGTGTAGATGTTGCCCTGGCTGGCTGGGGCAAGAGGGTGCTTCAGTGAAGGGGCAGCCTGCTTCCTGTGACATGAGATTGGGAAAGATGCAAGGAACACATGAAACCACTAGAGGGGACTAGATGATACTGCCGCAAGCTGAATAGCCTGGGGACTAATACTGCTCTTTTCAGCCAGCATTGTATACAGCATGGCTAATGACCTGTGAGTAATAATGGGCTGAATAGTGGAACATCACAATTTCAGAACATAGGAACTGCCATTTACTGAGTCAGACCATGAGTCCATCTTGCCAAGGCCTCTGTCCCAACAGGAGAAGAAAGCAGATGCTGCAAGGCAGAGTGAACCGGATCTGGCCAGAGTTTTTCCAACTCTCTCTCCCCCGCTTGCACCTCCAGCACTTAAGGTCTAGGGAGCTCTTACGCAGAAGCTGTGCCCCTCGCTCCCATGCTCAATAGCTACAGATGCCCCTTTCTTCCAATCCTTTTGTGAATTTGGCAAAACTCTCAACTTCTATTACAGCTGGTAGCAATGAGCCCCACTTTAATGACACACTGGGGGAAACAGAACTTCCTTTTCTTCGTTTTAAAATTTGCAGCCTACTAGATTCCTTTTATGATTCCTGGTTCTTGTATGGGGACAGTCAATAATAAATCTCTATTGACTCTGTCTTCATACTTGTTTGCAAGCCCTGAGTCCCCCATCGTCTTTTTTCCTAAACTGAATAGGCCTGGCTTCTTTTATCTCTCCTCCTATGTAAGAGAGTGAAAAAGAACTTTTTTTGTTTTAAACTTAATCCCTGCTAGTTTCATTTGTTGACCCCTGGTTCTTATATTATCATTAAAAAAAGGGAGAGAGGCCTTCACCCCTTTAGAGTGGACAGACATTAGCAGGAATCAGGGAGAAGATAATGAACCAGAAAGTCAAAACAGACTTGTGGTCTCAGTAAATGGCACTTCCTATGTTCTTAAGTCTTGACGTTCCACTATTCAGCCCATTACCCACTAGGCTATTATATGTGCAGGTACATAATGCTGCTGAAAGTAGCTATAAGAGTCTCCAGGCTGTTCAGCTCGCTCTCAGTGGGATGTGGTCCCCTTTAGTGGCTACACGCATTCTTTGCATCTTGCCCAACCTCTTGTCACACAGCAGCAGAGAGCAAGTGCTGAAAGGGAGTGAACAGGGTTTTTCCCTCTGTCCCTCTCTCACTTGCAGCCTCCAGCCTCAATCTTTCCACCCCCTGAGCTCTACTGCCCAGCAAGCAGTTCTGGTACCAAGCCAGCTCCTGTTGCTGCCCCTGAGGTTGTAACCTTCCCTCCCCCAGAGGTGCAACCCCATGCAAACAGCCTGAAAAGTAGATGCCAGCTAGCCAAGTCACAGATGGGTCCAGGAGCAGAGTCTGGGGAAGTGGGGAGTAGGGAACAGGGTAGGCACCCAATTGGGTCCCCATGAGCGGAGACTGCCTTCCTGGGGCAGGCATAGCAGCTTCTCCAGAAGTGCCTTTTCTCACAACTCCCAGACACACCAGGAAGCACAACCAGCCCTCCCAATGCACACACCTCAAACACCACACAAGATTAATTTTTCCTCTTTTTCAATGTTTCTTGTCTTTACGTATTTTATCTTTCAATAGCCAACTTACTTAATTTCACCCCCATTTCCTTTCCATCTCTCACTACTCCCCCCACACCACCACCCATCTCTCACACCCCCACCTAGAGCAGGGATAGAAACCCGTCCTGACTCCCCAGCCCTGCAGAGAAAACTTCCCCCTACTCACTAGCTCTCCAGAGTGGCAAGTCCCAGCTGTGCAGTGTGGGGCAGGCAGGAGACAATTTCTAGCCTTTAGGTGCAACTGCTGCAAGTTGAAGCTAGCACTAATGAGCAGTGCAAAATGCAATGTGCAACAAGGCCCAATAGGCATTTGAACCCGTGAAACTCCTCCACACAAAAGGTAGAGGAGTGGGAGTCTGAAACTTGTCTCAACCATGAGGATAGATCCTGGGGAGCCTGACACCACCCCACCCCCTCCCAATGGCAGTGAGTTTGCCTGTGTATTTTATGCTGTACACAGCTTTCCCTAGTAATGTTTAGTGATGAACAATATCCCACTAAACTGGCATATAGCACAAAGGAACTTGCTTTGCCTTCTCTTGTACTTCTCCAAATAAAAACACCCTGCCATATCCAACAAGATGGGGTCCTTCCTGCTGCCTCCTTAGCTGCAGGTTGGGGGCAGGGGCACAAAATATAGACCAGAGGCCTAACCTGGGGCAGCAGGGAAGGGAGACAGGACTCCATGGAGCTGGTGTGCAAGTGAAAAAGGAGCAGGTCACAAAAGGGGTGCAAGGGAGGCAGTAGGCAACAGGCAGCCTGGGGGACATTGCCCAGCAATGCCAGGTAGCCGAGACCTGGACAGGGCTAAGAGGGGGAAATGAGACGGGGGTACTGAGAGCACTGGAGGGGACCCCAGACAGGGGAGGAGGCAGGTCCCAGGAGAGGATCACCATTCCCCTTCTCATAAAACTGAGGCTTTGTCTGTGCCAAGAGGCCGACTAGACCCAGCCAGGCTGCAGCAGTACAGGGCTGCATCTGGGGAGACTGAGACAGGTGGCATGACCAAGGCTGCCCAGGGAGAGTCTGTGGCAGAAACTCTTCCAAGTTTAGGGAGGAAGTGCATACTATACCAGAAAATACAGTATCTTGTGTTTGCGGGCAGAGTGAAACTGACCTTCCCTCCATTCTCCTACCCAGGTTCCTTAATCACAGCCAAACCCCTGTCGTGGGACTAGGCCAGGCCAGGATTGAGGCCAACGCACCTTGAAGCCCCAGGAACTAGTCCTGCGATGACAGCTCCACCTCAGCAGGGCTGTTAAAGATGCATTCGTAGCCCTCCCTGGCACGGATACCTGGAAACACAACAGCTGTGGTGACATCTAAGCCTGCAAGGAGCTACAGACAGCAGCTTAGAAAGGAAGCATACTCCCCAGAATGCTACCAGTTCACCTGGGAAATGGAGGCATGAGGCACCATGCCCAGAGAAGGAAGCATATGGCATGGGTGAGGAAACTGTGGCACAGGGAGGTGACCCAAGTGGCCCCAGATCACACAGGGTGTCAGTGGCAGAAACAAAACCCAGGTGTCCTGTGAGGCTGAACCCCAGAGCATCCTGGCTCAGGCTTTCTGGGTGTCCACAACTGTGAGCAGAGGTCGCCAGCCCTGCAGCCTGCTGTAGCCCCAGCATCTGAGTCACCACCGCAGTGGACCTCCTGGCTGATCCTGCACCCCAGGTATCCAGCTGGGAGCCACAGCACCCCCTCGTGCCTGGGCCTGGCAGGACACCCACCCCTCATCCCCATTCTTCAATGGCAGGAAGCAAGGACGCTCCAGGTGGCCACAGCTGCTATAGCAGCCATATTCCTAGCCTGGGCAAGACGCAGGACAAGGGTGCCTGTAGTGTCTTCACCCAGCATTGCATCTTCTTCCAGTCATTCTTCTGATTCCTGGTTGCTGTATCCAGGGAGCCTAGGAGAAAAAGGAGGGGTATCATTAGCCAGGATGGGGACTGAGGGGGAAGCCCAGAGCCAGACTGGAAGGGAAGAGCCCCTCCTACATCTCCCCCACCCTGCTGGGATTGTGGGAACGAGGACACCTGAACAGCCCAAGCTGCAGCTGTCCCATCACTAACTCCTTGTTCCTCTTTATCTGCCTCCTGTTCTTACGTGCACAGACATGGGGGGGTCCAGGCACGCCTTTGTAGGAGGCTCAATATCCCCACCCCTCTCCCCCCTGGGTCCAGGCCTAAAAAGCATAAATCAAAAGGTCACCAAGGTTTTTTTGCCTAATCACAGCCATCTTTTTAAATAGCTCAGGCTATTAACATACTTTCTGGCACACAACACACCCTAACCAAGACTCACTTGTCTTTAAGAACAAGCTGGTTGTTTCCTGTACTGAAAGCCATGGATTTAAAAAAAAAAAAAAAAATAAGAAAAATAAACAGAAGCCATGGATCCACAACAGCTCTCACCTCAGAGGTGGCTGCATCTCAGTGTCAGGAAAAAGAACTCTGGATATCCAGAGGATCCCACCACAGAGCTGGCTACATCTTAGTGTCACAGAAGAGAATGCCGTGGATACAGACCAGGCATGGGTGGGCAAAGTCTGGCCCACGGGCCCATGGCAGAATCCACTTCTCAGCAGCCACTGCTGGATGCAGCCCTGCTGCCCAGGCACCCTGGTCCATCCAACTTACACCTACTGCTGGGGGCAGGACTCGTGTGGGCAGGGAGCACGGCTGGGATGGGGCTGTAGCCAGAGCCAGGGAGACCCCAGGGTCTTGGGGTGGTGACAGTATAGGGCCAGGGCAAAGCTGTGTTCTGCTGCCTGAACATATGCAACAAGTGCAGGTTCCACAGCAGGGGACAGAGCGGGGTTAGGCCTGTGCAGCTGGGCTGCCCCCCCTGTGCAAGAAGCTGCAGTGGAGCAAGGTGGGGATGGAAATGGGGTCAGGGCTGCCATGGCAGGGATGAGGGAAGGAACAGGGTTGGACCTGCCACAGCCAGGGAGAGGGAAGGGAGCACCCCAGACCTGAGGGGGGGCGGGAACCAGGGTCAGGCCCGGGGTAGCAGGAGGCGCAGGGCCGGACGCTGGGCTCTGTCCCCACTGGCCCCCCATCATTCTTGACAAGCAATTTGCTGGTATTATTCTTATTAGTAGTAAATACTAATATAGTTATTATTATTGTGAATTGTAATAACAGCAGCATTAATATTATGTTAATACCAACCAGGTTAATAGTAATATCAGTGTTCGTATCAAGAACAGTAATCATTAATGGCAATATTGTTATATATAGTGATACTACCAATAATAATCATCATATCATCATTAATGCTTAACATTATTGGCATCACTATTAATACTATTGCTGATATTAACTGTGATACTAATAATATTTATCATATTAATGGTAAGAATAATATAAATCATATTAATGGTGGTAATAATAGTAAATGTTAATGCTGATACTACTACCAACAACTGTATGCAACTATAATAAAGATTACATCTTTATTTTAACTAGTAACCTTTTTACCCATATCCGATTGTTAACCTTGATTTGAACAGGTTACCCAGAGTCCCCTTCAAGCCATGGGAGGAGATTAAGTGAACAAGGTGTCCGGCCTCCCCACTACATCCCCTTGCTCTAATCTAACCCACTAGTTTCCACTCCCTTCTGAGAGCTAGGGAAATAACCCAGCAGTCCGGCTCCCAGCCTGCCCTGCTCTGATCCATCAGCTCCAAGTACCCATTAACATTATCTGCCTGGGCCTAGCCAGCTCATGGCTGGGGTCATGCCAAAACCCACCTGGAGGCGGCAGAAGGATTTTGCGAAGGGGGGAGGAAAGCAGGAAGCCTCTGGACATTTGGAGAGGAAGAGACGCGGCATTAATCTGCCTGGAATGAAAGGAAGAGGAAGGGGCTGGGGGTTGCGGATCAGAAGCGAGGGGCACCAAGGGGAGCAGGGGGTTGCAGGTGAGAAGGGAGCTGTGGGGGGCTGTTGTATACCAGGGTCACCAAGGGAGGTGGCCCTGGCCGTAGGCACCCCCGTCATTTTGCCCCCAGCCCCTGGCAAGCGCACGGGGCAGCACTGGCCGTGGGGGCAGATGGGGGGGGAAAAGAAGAGCGGGGCAGCAGGAAACGTATGGTGCCCCTCACACCTAGCTGCTCAAGTGTGAGCCCCGAACTGCATGCTTCAGTGTGGAGCTGTCTGCAGGTGCACACACACCTACCCTTTGCCTGCTTACACAACCACAACTGGCATGACACCCACACCAACATGGAGTGAAAGATGCAAAGGCCCACGACACACACATACACACACTTGTCCCCTGCCTACACAACCTGGGCACAACCACACCTTTACACCTCAGACACACACCCCCTTCCCCTGCTGACACAATGTACACACAGCCACAACTTGCATGTAATGCACATGCACCCCTCTTTCTTTGAGGGCGCAACTTACATATGCAGAGCCAAATACAAAACAAGACACTTCTCCTGCTGACAACACCACAACTTGCATAACACACACACCTCCCCTTACACAAGTCACCCACCCACACCCCTTCTTCCCCTGCCAACACAACCTGGGCACTATCAACTTATATATAGAAAGCCAGAAACAACTTACAATAGACAACCCCCGCCACCCACATCTTTAAACAAGTCTGTTAATAAGATGATGACGATAAAAAACAACACGCCTGGAGCTTGCCCTCTGCAGCACCCCAGAGGCTTGTACTCCTCACAACACACACAGTCCTGATGCGCGCATGCACATACGCCCTCGCCCCCCTTCCCCCATGGTCTCTGCAGCTTCAGGCTTAAGGTTCCCCCCCTAAAAAAAACAAACAAAACAAAACAAAAAAACCACACAATCCTGATGCACACACCCTGGCCACCGCAGGGGCTCTGATGGCTGCAAGGGGCAGCTACACAGTTACACACACCATAACCGTTACCAGATCCCAGAAGGGGGGATTAGGGTCTCCTATGAACATACAAGCTTTGACATTGCAGGGGCTGCAAAGCTGCCAGTCTGCTACATAACCATAGCCACAACCACAACCACAACAACCAACCCCCTCTCTGCACAGGACCTCGCTCAAACACAACCCCGGCCACTGCAGGACCTCGGCTGGCTGAAAGAAACAGCTACACCACCACGCATACACACAGCACAACACAACACACACATCATAGTCTCTGCAGCACCCACAAGACCAAACTCAGGGTGCCGCACAAATACTCAATCCTGATGCCCACCTCGAGTGCCTGCAGGGGCTCAGACGGCTGCAAGAGGCAGCTACACAACCACACGCACCAACACAGCACAATGCACGCGCACACGCGTCACTCTCTACAGCACCCTGGGGAACACGCTCAGGATCTCCAACGCACGCACAGCTCTGATGCAAAGGCGCGCACAGCTGCACAACGCAGTTACGCAACAACAAACGCTACACCATCGCACGCACCAGTCTCCGCACCCCCCAGAGGCCGGGCTTAGGGTCCCCCTGAACACACGCTCCTCGCACGCGTGCGCCCCTCGGTGACTGCAGCATCTCAGATGGCTACACAACCACACACAACACACCCCCACCGCGGCCTCCCCTCACTCCCCATCACACTGCGACCGCGCAGCTGTAACGGGGGACGGGGACACACCACCTGCACTGCACCCCCGGGCCAGCACGGCCGTGTTCCTCGCGCACACCGCCCGCCCCGCCAACACACACACACCCACACACACACACACACACACACACACACGAAATCTGCAGTGCTGTATCCTGTTTCTCCTGTGTTTAAAAAAGAAAAAAAAAGTACCTGTCTGATGAAAAGATAAACATTTAGAAGGCACTTTTGAAGCCAAAGAGCTATAAAACATGCTCAGTATCTTTTAGAAGTTTTGAAACAGCTGCATAGCTGAGCAAAAACCAAAGAAGCATTTAATAGAAAGGTTTCTTTAGTTGTGTGCCTGGGGAGCCCAGTTACGGCACGTGCCGTATTTCCGAGCATATACATCGCGTGGGGTTTAGCAAAATGCGGTCACGTCTTTACCATAATGAAGGCACCTCGGGGAGGGAGTCGCGGACTAAAAGCATCACTGCTGGGGCTTCCACACAACAGCTGTGGGTTGCGGGGGGGCGGGGGGGGGGGGGGGGGGGGGGGGAAGACATACTTTCAGCACAGAAGTATGGTGTGTGTTGGGAAGGGGCATGTGATCATGCTTCCACCCACACCGCACACCCAACATATGTGTTGGAGGGAGCATGCTATCAGCACAGAAGTAGGGTAACAGCTCCTGAAGCTTCTGTTTGTGGATCTCTTACCATAGTTTTGTGCTGTAAGCATGCCCCTACCCCAATGTCCCACAGCTGGTTGGGGAGAAGGGGTGTAAGGTATGAAAGACAATATGGTAGCCACACCCCACAGTGGGGCAAGAATGGCCCTGCCCCCAACCCAGCAGCATTGGTGTCCTAATCGGTAGCAAGGTGTAGGCGGTGCGTGGGGATTCATGTGCACCCCCTGACCGGCCGCACTCCCCACTTAGGCGATGGGCAGGGGGGGCCAGTAGGAGCACCAGTGCCCCCCCACTATGAGCACCGGATGTAGCACCATGGCCGCTTCCCAGTCTGCAGGATTGGCCGCAGGGGGGGGACCCCACCTCCCGCGTTCACGGGGGGCATGTGCCCCCCCAACTAAGGTGTCACCAGTCACCCATGGTCCTACTAAAGGAAAGAACCCGGAATCTCCTCCCCTCCCCCCCCACAGCTGGATGCCTGGGTTCCCGGGCAGGCTGGGGCCTGACACCTGGGCTCTCTGGGACGAAGTGGGGAGGTGAGAGCAGGGGTACGGGGAGCCCGGACACCTGGGTTCTTTCCAGCTCCAGCTCAGACCTTTTAACACATCAGGGGAAGTCATGGACCAGGCCCACCACAGAAACGACACGCCCCCTTTAGTAATGGGGGCCACTAGCGATGTGTTACATTACAGACTTCTTTGGACGCAGCCGCAGCTCAGGCACCTGCTGCCCACAGACCCCAGCCTGGAGGATCCAGTCAGGAAATCTCCCCAGGATCAGCTGCTCCCAACACTAGGAGAAGCCAGTGGGCTGTTCCAGGGGGCACTACAGCACGCTGGCAGCACAGGGGTGCATCCAGCTGTGGAGCCCCCCACAACCCAGCCACACACCCCCAGGGGGGGCTCTGGTCAGGCCTCCCCAACACTGAGCACTTGCTCGCACCTTCCCCCAGGGGCACTAGTGGGCACTGTAGGGTAGGGGGCCAGGACCCCTGGGTTCCTTTCCCATGCTTCAAGAGACAGCTACACAACCAGGCAACCACCATGGTCTCTGCGGCTTTCCAGAGGCTGGAAGTAGGGTCCCTCCCCAACACACTCCCCATGCACACACGTCGTGCATTGCACAGGCTCAGACAGCTGCAATAGGTGCTACACAACACGACACACAGCACTGTCACTGCACTCTCCAAGAGACAAGGTTCAGGGCCCCCCATAACACACACCGCTGACGCTCACACAGTTGCAAGAGACAGCTACGCATCATAACACACCCAACCCTGCCCAATCCCCTGTCCTAAAGCAGGATGAAGCTGGATTTCCACCCACCAGGCTCCAAGGGTCTGGGACCAGGCAGAGGCTTAATAACATGCATCCCTGCCTGCTCCCATTGGCTAGTGTGTTGACCTTCCCCTATTGGCCAATTGTTGTGAGTGGCGGGCTGGGATTGGTGGAGAGCGGGGAGGGGGTTCAGAGTCTGGAGGTTTGTGTGGGGGAGGCTCACCTAAGGTATGTACCATATTTCTGAGCATATAAATCGTGTGGGATTCAGCAAAATGCAAGAAACAGGGTCAGGCAGGTCTTTACCAGAATGCGGGGATCACTGGGAGGAAGCCATGGCATACAGTCTGCAGACAAGTCTGCTGGGCCTTCCACCCACACAACGCAACACAACACAACACAACACAACACAAAACAACATGTATGTATGTATGTATGTGTGTGTGTGTCAGAAGCTTAAGAAACTGTTACCATATTTCAGTGCTAATAGCAAGTCCCTTCCCCAGTTTGCAGCACTGGTGGGGGGGAAGGGGCATCTTGGTAGTCGCTCCCCCACCAACAAGTAGGGCATAATGCCCTCACCCCCACTCAGCAGCATTGGCGGGGGTGAGAGGGAATAATAAAAGAAAAAACCTAGGGGTTTGGGTCCCCCCCCCCCCCCAACAGGTGATGGAGGGGTGGCGGGGAGGCGGGTGCCTTTCAGTGAAGTTCCAACACTGGGTTTTCTGGAAGAGGGGGGGGAAGCTGGGGGTCAGGCTGGGACCCAGATGCCTGGGCTCTTTCCAGCTGTGGAGGAAGCGAACATGGCTGAGAGGGGCTGGGAGCCCGGACACCCGGGTTCTTTCCAGCTCTGGAAGAGAGGAATGTGGTTCGGGGGGGCTGGGGGCCCGGGCGCCTGGGGTCTCTCCAGCTCCAGCTCAGGCACCTGCTGTCTCCTGGCCGGCGCCTGCAGAATCCAGCCATGAAATCTTCCCTGGATCAGCTGATTGGGGGGGGAGGCGTGTGGGCTCTGGAGAGGGGGGTCACTAGCGGGTGCTGGCTGCAGGGGGGGGGGGGCCAGCAGGTGGGGGGCCCC